GGTTATGGAAGAAGCCCACACTCAGTCCTTCAAGGGCTTAAGGGGGATGAGCAAAGCAATGTTCACCCATTCTCATGAAGAACAGAATATCAGAGTTGGAAGGGACTTTGGAAGTCTTCTAATCAACCTGTCAGGATTCTGATGGATGTCCTGATTAAATCATGAGCCTCGAACCAAGCTTCAAAAGAAATCCAGTTATTTATTAGCAGCTTCATGTCAGCACGTACCCAAATGAAGCCAACTCTGACCCCAAGTAATTTACGGCCCCAATCATGACCCTGTTTCCCCCCTCCCTCAAGGATGTGTCATCAATCACATTCACCAACGGAGCAATTCCGCGGGTTGTAGAGATCACTCCCTTCCAGCCGCTGTGGGTAACCCTGGGAGACAGCCTTGAGAAAAATATGTCTGGAATGTGCTCCTGTCTTTGGCTGCTGTGTTGTTTCACTGGTTTCCCATCCCCCTTGCCTGAGGACTCAGATTGTTGGGGGCAAGAGGCTGACTCTGTAAACCACTTAGAGAGGTTTCACAGCCCTCAAAAAGAGGGCTGTGAAAATATCTAGTACAGACCTCTCGCATCCTGGACATAAATTGTTTCAACTTCTACCCTCAAAACAAGGCTATAGAGCACTGCACACCAGAACAACTAGACACAAGGACAGTTGTTTACCCGAATGCCATCACTCTGCTAAACAAACTATTCCCTCAAAACTGTCAAATTAACTACTAAAACTATATTACTATTCTTCTTCTCATCTTTACTAGTATCTATCTCTCCCCACCTATGGCTACAATCATGTTGCTTGTATCTTTACAATTTATATTGTTTTATTGTTTCCTAGTATGATTTGATTGCTTATTAGTATCCTATGACTATCACTAAGAATTGTATCTTATGATTCTTGATGAATATATTTTATTTTTTTCTTTATGTACACTGAGAGCGTATGCACCAAAGACAAATTCCTTGTGTGTCCAATCACACTTGACCAATAAAGAATTCTATTCTATTCTATTCTATTCTATTCTATTCTATTCTATTCTATCTATTCTATTCTATTCTATTTAACATTCTACATTCTATTCTATTCTATTCTGTTCTGTTCTGTTCTATATCTGTTCTATTCTTTATTCTATTCTATTCTATTCTATTCTATTCTATTCTACATTCTACATTCTACATTCTATTCTATTATTCTACATTCTACATTCTCTTCTCTTTCTTCTTTCTCTTCTCTTCTTTCTCTTCTTTCTCTTCTCTTCTATTCTATTCTATTCTATTCTATTCTATTCTATTCTATTAGTTTAGTTTAGTTTAGCTTAGTTTAGTTTAGTTTAGTTTATTTGATTTGTATACCGCCCTACTCCGAAGGACTCAAGGTGGTGAACAGCCAAACAATAAAATACATAGATACAAAAAATTTAAAAACCGATAAATCAAATTAAATCATTTTGGCCCAGACAGATTAAAACACCCCGATAATTTAAAAACAGATTAAAATTTACATATTTAAAAAAGGGAAGAGATTAGGCCAAGCCCGCCTGATGGAATAAAAAGGTCTTCACAGCGCGGCGGAAGGTGAGCAGATCCGGGATCCTCCGTATCTCGGGGGGAGCTCATTTCAGATGGTATGTGCCCACAGAGAAGGCTTCCCCCTAGGGGCTGCCAGTCGACACTGTTTGGCTGACGGCACCCGGAGGAGTCCCTCTCTATGAGAGCGTACTGGCCGGTGGGAGGCTATTGGTGGTAGTAGGCGGTCCCGTAGAACCAGGTCCTAAGCCATGGAGCGCTTTAAAGGTGGTAACCAAAACCTTGAAGCGCACCCGGAAGACCACCGGGAGCCAGTGCAGCTCGTGCAGGAGAGGTGTTACATGGGAGCGCCATGTCGCTCCATTACCACCCGCGCGGCGCACTCCGCGCCAGTTGGAGCCTCCGGGTGCTCCTCAAGGGGAGCCCCATGTAGAGAGCATTACAATAGTCCAGGTGGGTGACGAGGGCATGAGTGACCGGCATAACGAGTCCCGATCCAGAAGGGACGCAACTGGCGAATCAGGCAAACCGGATGAAAAATATTCTATTCTATTCTACATTCTATATTCTACATTCTGTTCTATTCTATTCTATTCTATTCTATTCTATTCTGTTCTAATTCTATTCTATTCTACATTCTATTCTACTCTACTCTATTCTATTCTTTCTGTTTGTTCTGTTCTGTTCTGTTCTATTCTACATTCTATTCTATTCTATTCTATTTATCTATTTATTCTGTTTGTTCTGTTCTATTCTATTCTTTCTATTCTATTCTATTCTATTCTATTCTATTCTATTCTATTCTATTTTACATTCTACATTCTATTCTATTCTATTCTGTTCTGTTCTGTTCTATTCTGTTCTATATTCTATTCTATTCTATTCTATTCTATTCTACATTCTACATTCTACATTCTATTCTATTCTATTCTACATTCTACATTCTCTTCTCTTCTCTTCTCTTCTCTTCTCTTCTCTTCTCTTCTCTTCTCTTCTCTTCTATTCTATTCTATTCTATTCTATTCTATTCTATTCTATTCTATTAGTTTAGTTTAGTTTAGCTTAGTTTAGTTTAGTTTAGTTTATTTGATTTGTATACCGCCCTACTCCCGAAGGACTCAAGGTGGTGAACAGCCAAACAATAAAATACATAGATACAAAAAATTTAAAAACCAGATAAAATCAAATTAAATCATTTTGGCCCAGACAGATTAAAACACCCCGATAATTTAAAAACAGATTAAAATTTACATATTTAAAAAAGGGAAGAGATTAGGCCAAGCCCGCCTGATGGAATAAAAAGGTCTTCACAGCGCGGCGGAAGGTGAGCAGATCCGGGATCCTCCGTATCTCCGGGGGGAGCTCATTTCAGATGGTATGTGCCCCCACAGAGAAGGCTCTCCCCCTAGGGGCTGCCAGTCGACACTGTTTGGCTGACGGCACCCGGAGGAGTCCCTCTCTATGAGAGCGTACTGGCCGGTGGGAGGCTATTGGTGGTAGTAGGCGGTCCCGTAGATAACCAGGTCCTAAGCCATGGAGCGCTAAAGGTGGTAACCAAAACCTTGAAGCGCCCGGAAGACCACCGGGAGCCAGTGCAGCTCGTGCAGGAGAGGTGTTACATGGGAGCGCCATGTCGCTCCCATTACCACCGCGCGGGCCGCACTCGCGCAGTTGGAGCCTCCGGGTGCTCCTCAAGGGAGCCCCATGTAGAGAGCATTACAATAGTCCAGGTGGGTGACGAGGGCATGAGTGACCGTGCATAACGAGTCCCGATCCAGAAAGGGACGCAACTGGCGAATCAGGCAAACCGGATGAAAAATATTCTATTCTATTCTAATTTCTATATTCTACATTCTGTTCTATTCTATTCTATTCTATTCTATTCTATTCTGTTCTACATTCTATTCTATTCTACATTCTATTCTACTCTACTCTATTCTATTCTATTCTGTTCTGTTCTGTTCTGTTCTGTTCTATTCTACATTCTATTCTATTCTATTCTATTCTATTCTATTCTGTTCTGTTCTGTTCTGTTCTGTTCTATTCTATTCTATTTCTATTCTATTCTATTCTTATTCTATTCTATTCTATTCTATTCTATTCTATTCTATTCTATTCTAAAATTGAGTTCATTTGACTCCCCATTGACTTTCCTTGTCAGAGGTTCCCAAAAGGTGACTGTGTGATCCCAGGACATTGCAAAAGTCATAAGTATGAGCTGGTTGATAAGCCTCTGAATTTTGATCACGTGACCATGTGGTTACAGTTGTAAGTGTGAAAAATGGTCATAAGTCACTTTTCTCAGTGCCTTTGTAATATCAAACGGTCACTGAAGAATGGTTGTAAGTCGAAGATTGCCAGTTTCATTGACCTTTCTCATAAGAATGAATCAATAAAGCTATGGAAAGTTCAAACGTCGGCACTTAACACTTCAGGAACTCAGCGTTTGTTCTGCAGAAATGCCCCTCGCCACAGCATCTGCTTAAGTCTCATTCCCCAGGTGTGCCTTGTGAAGATGGGCGGGGCGCTCTCCTCCTGAGTAGCCTGCTCAGTCTGCGCTGTTCTCACCTTCTCTCCACTCTCTGTGCTCGAGGATCAGGAGGGGGTGGTCCTTGCTCCTTGCCTGAGCTCAGTCTCTCATGTTTTGTTTTTTTTAAAAAAAAAAATTGATTTATATGCCGCCCTTCTCCGGAGACTCAGGGCGGCTTACAATGCATTAAGCAATAGCCTTCATACTTCTGTATGTTTATACAAAGTCATCTTATTGCCCCCATAATCTGGGTCCTCATTTTACCTACCTTAGAAAGGATGGAAGGCTGAGTCAACCTTGAGCCTGATGAGATTTGAACTTGCAGTAATTGCAGGCAGCTGATGTAAGTGGATGTTAATTTGTCTGCTGAGCCACCAGAGCTCAGCAGAGCTCTGAACAGAGTTCATCCTGTCCCTGTTCCTCCCAGTCTATAAACTGTCCTAATCCTGAAAGGCCCTGGTGTGACTGGCCCCTTCCCATTTTCCTCGGAAGCCAACGAAGCCGCCCCCTCAATCTCTCTCAGCTCAGGTTTCAGCTCATCTTCCCCTGCAGATTCAGGCTCCGATGTGGGCATGAGAGTAAAATTGATAATATCCCAAGTATAGGAGAAGAAATGGGAGAACCCGGGAGGCAGAGTGAAAAGGGGTATCAGCCTAGAATCCCTAGGTAGCCACAAGCAAACTAAGCCCAACCCCCCTTGAGTGCCATTCAACCTTATCTAACACTAAGCGCACACTGACCATTACTTCAGAAGATTCCTATACATAGGCTTTTTAGCAATAAATCAATTTAATTGAACCTTTGTGTGTGTGTGTGTGTGTGTGTCTGTGTGTCTGTGTGTCTGTGTGTGTGTGTGCGCGCCTCACATCAAGACTTTCATTCAATATTCTGGGCAGGGGAAACAAAGACTGGAAACAACGAATGAGAAGCCAAACTGCATTGTTTTAAGCAATTATCATACAATGTTTTATTGTAGGAATCTACAAACACAAATGCTTCCTCACAACGCACTGATTTTGCTACAATCCTTTTACATGTGGAGAATGCTTTTTCTTCTCCTCCTCCTCCTCCTTCTTCTTCTAATGTTAATTGGCTGACACAGCCTCATAAGGTTCACCACCAGTGTGATAAGGTAGAAGAAACGTCATACAACTAGAACAAGGTTGAAGTGATTTGAGTCCCCCAAGCCCATGTATCAAAACCACAGCTGTCACAATGCAGTGGTGGACTTGTTGTCTTCATGGCTTCCTTTGAACAGATCAGTTCCAGTAGTTAAAAACAAAAAGAAACAGATCGAAAGTCGACAGCAGATCTGATGGATTAATATTGCACAACAGGTACGATGGTCCGTTCGGTTTGGGTAGATCTTTCCCCGGTTCTCCTTACAGATAATTAGAGCATCAGCTCTCTTAGTCAAGAAACAATGATCCATAAACAATGATCCATAATTCAACTCATTAGAAGCAATCCATAATCCATGCACTTCCCTTCTTCAGCTTCTCTGATAACCCCAGAAGCATTGTTACATGGTTGCTTGTGAAGCCAGAGAAGCCATAGCAGGAGGTGCTGAAGGTCCAAAGAGACATGATAGACCCACTGAAAGTCTACCGTTGGCCTTCTGTTTTGACTAACATGAAACAGGCTATTTTTAATACAACCATCATCATTTATTCGATGGCTAACATTGCATTCGGCTCTGAAGGTTTCAAGTAACCATGGCACCGAATTTGATGACGTCATCAAATTTGGCCCGTGAACATACATTCGTGGAAAGTCACTCCTACCTCAGGGTAGGAAGCCCAATGCGGAATACGATGATGAAAATAGTAATAAACAATAATAATCTATACCTATCTCCAATCCAACCTGTTTGACAGGTGGCATGTGAAGCAAATCTTCTTTGAACATCAAAAAAAGTTCTGATTAATGTCCATTGTATGCAATGGTGTGTGTACATTTTACACTTCTTAGTAGGCTCAAGAAATGGAAGATATATTGCATTCCTTACTCTGCTGTCTAGTGGAGAAAGTTGGATTGCCCCATTTGTCATACATTGTTGTCAAGCTCCTAATTATAGAGCCTAACATTGTTTAACCAAACACCTTTGACTACAAATTTTTGTTTTGTTTTTTTAAACACTCCAGTTATTGTTGTTGTTGTTTTTTACAACATCTTCATGGACCACATAGGTGACAGGAAAATGAAGTGTGGTCCTTTAGAAAGGATGTTCTCTCAGTTCTAGATACTTTGGAGTTCCAGCTGAAGTCCTGCACCAGAGTCCTCCATCATTTTTCCCTCCCCAACCCTCAGTCACAACATTCACACAGTCATAACTTGAGGCCATCTGAATAACGGATGAATGTCCCTTCAAAGTCCCTTGAACGTCCCTTCGCTGGCCTTTTGCTTTTTGTACAGCTTCTTCCTTGCATCTTCTCTGCTTTCTTGGTAGCAGCCCATCTTGAGATGTTGACGCTGCTTACTTCAGTTCCTCAGAGAACAACCCTTCTGCATGCAAAAGTCGAAGCCGTTGAAGAGTTCAGGAGCCATGCCCACCAACAACAGAAGAAAACAACTCCCTATAATAACAATAATAAAAGAAAGAAAGAGAAGATTAAGTGACAGGATAATGAAGTGGGAAGAAAAGCAAGTGCTAAAGCTTTGGAGAATTATGGTAATGGGTTTCCTCATGGTTGGGGTCTATCCAGTGGTGGGATTCAGCCAGTTCAGGCCAGTTCATGTGAACTGGTAGTTAAATTTCTGGCTGGCTGGCCTCTCCCTGCCCCTCCCCTTCCAGGAATCCCCACGGACCCCATTTTGGCTCCTAGGCCCTAAGTGGGGGGGGGGGCAGTGCCCCCCATGGCCCATTTTTGACCTCAGGAGGCTGCAGGAAGGCCTACTAGGCCCAAAATGGGGCACGGGGGCAGTGCCTCCCTCCCCATGGCCCGTTTTTGCTCCTGGGGGGTGTAGGAGTGCTGCCTGTCACACCCCCTGGCCACGCCCATCATGACCACCCCCACCCAGCCAGTCATTAGGGGTCTATCCCAGCCAGCATGGTCAATGGCAAGAGGTTGAATCGGGGAGTTAAGGGTACAATATTCCCTATCATTTCCTTACGAGGCAGGAAAAGCTCTGGAGAAGAGAAGGTGGTAGGACCTATTTGAAGTAGGACCTACAGTATCTAAGGTAGGATGTTCTTGATTCTTGCCTCTTTAAGGAAGCCCCAAAGAGATATTCCCAGCACCTCTTTCCCAAAGCGTGCTGTGAAATTGGGAATCTAAGCTTCTCCTTCCCACTTCAGAAGGAGATCTATGTATGTAAGTATCAGGAGAATTCAGAACTTCTAATCTAGAGGTTGTCCCAAAGGTGTTTTTTTTTCCAAGAAGCAACTGGACTTTCTTGTTTTTTCTTTGAAGACATTTCGCTTCTCCTCCAAGGAGCTTCTTCAGCTCTGACTGAATGGTGGGGGGAACCGAAGAGCTGAAGAAGCTTCTTGGAGGAGATACGAAATGCCTTCAAAGAAAAAAAAAACAGAAAGTACAGTTGCCTCTTGAAAAACGGCATCTTTGGGACTTCCATGACTTGGATGACTGAGAATCTCCATAGACATATCTGGAGGTTAGCTAAGAGCAGGCCGAGGAATTTGTCCATCTGGCAGAGAACTCAAATTACCTTCTCTTTCTTCAGACGCTCGTCCTTCAAGAACAGCAGGAGCCTGGGGAAGATGACGTCCATCCAGCTCTGTTGCTTGCTGGGCTTTTCCAGAGCCGTTTCTCCGTCTCCAATCTCTGCTCCACACGCGATTCAGGAAGTGCTGAATTCACAGCCCGTTTTTGAATGAGTCACTGTAACAGAAGCAGAGCATGAAGTGTGAGCTAAAGTTGCTTCAGAAGATCATCCCTTATATTAGCTATTGCTTCCTTCCTTCCCCGGTAAACTCTAATTGGATTATTTCATCTACACAAAAGTCCTTCAGCCGGTTTGCTCTCAGAGATAAAGAAATGCTTATGCACAGCGGTTGGGAAAGGGACTTCTTGCCATACGACCCAATTGCCATTCCTCTTCTTTTCAGAGGAGCTAAATATAATGTTGACTGTTCCTTCCATTCTGAAAAGACTTTGGGCTGCTGGCAGGAGCAAGGTGAGGAGCAGATTCATACCAGAAATCAAACTCCCCAAATTTTTGCGACGTCAGAAAAGCACAACCTGACAGGTGTTCTGGTGTTCATGCTAGGTCCCAACCACCTTGTGCCTTAGCATGAAGGCCTGCTAAACCACCAAAACCCCGAACCTATGTTCACTTCATGCGTGTTGTGAAACCAGGCTAAACTAACCCAAATTGTCATCCTCTACAACCACATCTTTAAACTTGGAAAAAGACAAAAAGTCAAGAGGTTGTTACTTACCTCTAGCTTACAGGAAGGAGTCACATCTCCCCATGGTTCCCAGCAAGATTTTTCACAGCTGCTCTTCATCTTGTCCTTTGCATGCCAAGTTGTCTCTTTCGGCCAGAAAGGGCCAATTGTCCATGATATGAACTTTGCTTTCACTTGTCTTCTCTTTTCTCTCTTCAACGGCACAAGACTCTCAAAGCTGCCGATCTTCTTCCTAGTTTGGTTCTTATTTGCATCATCAAAGGAGGCTCAACTAAAAAAAACTTCAGTTCAAGGGTCTTTACACTTTGGGTAAAGTGGTCCTCACCACTGAAATATGCAGTCCATTTTTTTTTCAACTAGCAAAAGTTAGTACAACTTTAGTAGACATTCTTGTAGATGGGTTAAGTTCTAAATTCAAGCTGTGTCTGTGCCACATTTTTTTTCCTTCTTGTAGTCTAAGTAGCCCTCCAACCTCAAAGTCTTCTTTCTTTTGCTAAACCCCCTTAGATGTTTCTTAAGAATCTCCCTCTTCACTAGAACTCTGCTTATTGCCCTCATGAATGAAACAAGAAATTCAATAGCACGAACCTTTCTCATCTCAACGGCTTGGATTTAGAGATGGAAAGGTGGAAAGTGTATCTACTAATGACTTTTCTGGAGCTGAAGGACCTTAAAAATCAGGTCAAGAGAGAATCCAGAGACTCATCTGAGAATCAAAACTGAGGCCAAAACAACAGAGCTTCAAGTGTCGGCTGGAATTTTCAGCGGAAGTTCTGCCAGGACACCTGAAGCTTGCTTTCCAACGTGTTTTGGAGCTCAATCTAAACGATGTCGAGGAAGTTATTAAAAAATAGAAACTTCCTAGAAAGTAAGTAAATCCATTGGCTAATGCAGAGATAAACAGAAGCCATCTCTCAACAGCTACCCGGAAGGATGAGAGAATGTCTGGAAGGAAAAGCATGTTGAAGGACAGAACTAATGCTAGAAGGAAGGACCTTCTGTGAGGGTGTCTATTTAAATCCCTAGGGAGTCACCACTCAAGGTGATTCAGTTGTCTCTGCCCCAAAAGAAGGATTTCCTACCTTGGTAACATAGCCTGATCCTTGCTTTTAGAAAGCCATCCTCAAGCTCAGCTACCGATGTTCCAGCTTGAAGCACATCAGATAGTTCAAGCTTGCTTTGTTCTCCACATGGGATACCAGAAGGAAAAGCCAGTCATCTCCAACCAGCTTTTGAACTGAGATCCCAGAATCATCAGTGTAGCCCAAGGCACCCACTGAATGGAAACAAACCTGCTGAAGAAGCTGATAGTTCCCATCTGTGTTTCTAGTGCCTTGATTTCTGGGCTCAGATCACCGTGACCGGTGGAGCAGAGACATCTGGATGAGTTTCATCACTAGCAACAGGGCTAGCAGTAGAAGAAGGAGGCAAACTTTCCACCGACCCTCCTAACTGGTTTTTGGGGGACCTCTGGGGACTGGGCTCCTCAGAATTATCTAGGTTGTCCTCAACTTCCTTGCCCCGTTGGATCAGCTGTTCTAAAGTTTTGGGGTAGGGGTGGCTAAGGAAACGCTTGAGTTTGGGCTGGAGGGTCCCTACGACATACTGGATGACCTCCTCTTCCTCAGCATCTATGTAGAGAGTTTGGTACAAGTCCCTTTTGCGCCAAAGGAACTGGTCAAGGGGCTCCCCATCCTTCTGGGGGAGATCCAGTTCCTGTTTGATGGCATCCCTTGTCAAGGTACCCTCGCTGTACTGGAGGAACTCTTTCTTAAACTCCAGCCAGTTCTTGACCGAGTCCTGCTTGTATTCCCACCACTTTTTGGCAGGGCCATTCATGTGGTTCTGGATCTGGGAGAGCCAATACTCTTCCGTTCCACCCACCTGCTTCAGATAGTCCTCCAGATGAGTCAGGAATTCCCTGGGATCTTCAAAAATCTGGGTTTCCACTGGGGAGGGTGGGGTATCATCTGAAACAGTGATCCACTGATAGGAGTCATGGGACTGAGGCACACTAGGGTCTTCCCCCATCGGAGGAGAGGTCAGGGCATACATCTGACTCATGTCTAAGGCATAATCATAAATTTCCTCTTTGCTGGGTTGGATTTCTGGGGCCCCTACTCCTACCGAGACAGTTTGTCTGGATTGGTCAGCATGGCTGTACTTTCCCCCACCAGATTCCAACCGGTCAGCCCATTTCTCCAAGCGGAAAAAGACTTCCTTCCAGACATTAATCTCCCTCTTGACCCACCTCTCCAGGTGAGCAATGGTTTCCTGACATCTAGCCAGACAAGCCTTGATGGATTTTTTCCATCTCTGGTTCTCCACAGCTGAAGGAACGTGGTCTTCTAGATTGTTCTCAAGTTTCCCCACCGATTTCTGCAGGCCTTTCAGCTCCCGCTCTACCTGCTTGGACACCTCGGTCAGGAGGTGTCGGTGGGTTCTCCTCACATGTTCTAACATGTCAGCCCTGCACTTCCCTATCTGAAGGATGACGTTGGGCTTGTTGTTGGCCACCCCGCGATGACCCTGACAAGAATGGAGGTTCCCATGGTTGAAGTTGTCCACCTGCATCATTTCTACCTCAGCTGCTATACACTTCCAACAATTCTTTGCCAAACCACTCTGCCCAGAAACTGACTTGCCTTCTTCTTCTTCTTCCCAAAAGCACAAAACACAACTGAATCAGAGGTCACCCGAGGAAATAAAAAAAAACGTGACCGTCCAACTCCACTTGGCGTTGAAGCAAAAGTTCACGAAGCAGATCAGGAAAGTTCTTTCCAGCCTCGACTTCTTCTTCTTCCTCGCCTTTGAAAGCTTTTAATTCCCAAGCAGATCTGTCAGGTTCCTCTGGACGGGTGGAAGACCACCTCTCCGCTGCTGGTGCAACTTCTCCCTGGCTTCCAGACCCCTCCTGAGAACTTTGAGCTAAGCAGAATTTGGTTCTCTTCCTCCGAGAGTTGGAAAACAGAGAGCTCTTCGGTTCGTCTCTCTGCTCTGCCACTCTCTCCGATGGAGACCCATATTTATACTGCACACAGCTCCGTACGTGGGTGTAGCCAGGCCTCTTTGCTCATCGGCAACGCGCCTCTGATTGGATGAGAAAGAAATTCAGGGGAAAACACAGCTTCTGGCATATTTCTCGGCTTCCCCCTCCCGTTCTCCTTTGCCACCCCCTCGTGCACACCTCCAGACTTGAGGCGAGAAGCGCTTGAAAGGTTTTGGAGACAGTTGGAGAGTTGGATGAGTAATCCCTTTACCTTTTCTTTCTTTTTTTTCCCCCCCCTCTCTCTCTCCCTGGCATCCTCCTTCTCTGCCCCCCTTTCCCTCCCACACCCCCAGCTTGAGAGCAGAGAAAGGGCTTATTCATCCCCTAGTCAGTAAGGGCCTTATGAAATCTGACACAAAGCGGGGAGATTAAGCCGATGACTGTCACGCCCCACTGGCCACAGTGTAGGATGGATACCCAAAGCCCACTCCGACGCATTCCTCTGCACAATTAATTACAAAATCCTTCTTCTCGGGTGACTCCCCAGACCTGAGCAAAAAGGTCAGAATAAGCAGAGGAGATCCCTTCCACTTCTCCAAATCAAGAGGTGGGCATTTGAGCTCGAGCATCTTCTCTAACGGGATGAGGAACAGGTGTCCGAGGATGGGGCCGGGTGACAGAGTGCTTCCTAGACTATGGGGTCAAAAAGGGCCCCACCACCCTTCCCGCAGGGGAAAGGGGGACCTCCTGGACCATGGGGGGGGTGTCAGAAAAGGTCACACCCCCTTCTCACTTGGGGTCCCCAACTCATTAACCCCGCCCATCACCGCCGTCTCCCAGCGCTAAGCCCTTGAATGGGTTTTTTCATCGTTCCACGTTCCGCCCACCCGACGAAGCTCACTCACACTTGTTTCCTGGGGCTTGTTATGGAAGCAGGAAGCGGTCCATAAAAGGAAACCAGGAAGGGGTTTTTATGTAACCAGGCAGATGAAGAGATTCCCCTTTTTCTAGAAAAGCAGCAGAAAGAGTTTCCCCTCCGGAACTCCAACCTGTCATCCCTGATGGAAACCTGGCATGACAAGACGTTGGTGTCACATCGTGTTCTCTGCCTCTCCGGGAGAGAGAAAGGTTGGAGGTTTATGTAACGGGGATTAGATGCCAAGACATCTCCCCCCCCTTTCAACCCAAGGCATGATTGGCAGCTTTTGTCAGGGCTGAAGTTCCCCCGATTAAAATTAGCATAGGGAGCTGAGCTAAGGCATCTGGCCTCTCGGATGCTTCTCTTGAAGGGGTGGCCTCTGTTTTCTGCTTGGGGGGGGGGAAATACAACAATATAAATTATATACAGTATGGGCACAAAATATTGAAGAACCAATAATGATGGAAACGTGGGGAAAAAATATGGGTTAGAAATGTGAAGTTTACGCAAGCCCAAAATTTAAGAGAGAATTTTTATAAAATGTTTTATAGATGGCATCTAGAGCCTGTATGTATCCAAGTGTGCAACCTAAGTGTTGGAGATGCGAATGTGATGACGCCACGTATTATCATATATGGTGGACATGTAAAAAAAAATTAAGGCATTTTGGATAAAAGTATGGTGGATTATCCAAAACATTCTCAAAAAAAAAAAAGATAAAATTCATTCCACAGTTCTTTTTGTTGGGTATAATTACAGATTGTACGGTCATAGAGACTAAATTGATTTTAAATTTAATAACAGCAGCCAGACTTTTGGTGGCCCAGTATTGGAAGAAGGAAGACTTGTACCATAAAATTATTATATCAATCAAAAGATAATTTAATCAAGAACGTAACTCAATAACTTTTAGGAAGGGTTTGCTATTAGAATAGCAGTTACAGTATAAAGAAGAAAAGTGAAACACGTAGAAAAAATGAGATCTACAAAAATGATCACCATGTCAGGTTCATTGGGTAACCTATTATTATTCCCGCTTGGACTACTGCAATGCTCTCTACATGGGGCTCCCCTTGAGGAGCACCCGGAGGCTCCAGCTGGTCCAGAATGCGGCTGCGCGGGTGGTTATGGGAGCGACTTGGCGCCCCCATGTGACCCCCCTCCTGCGCGAGCTGCACTGGCTCCCGGTGGTCTTCCGGGTGCGCTTCAAGATTTTGGTTACCACCTTTAGAGCGCTCCATGGCATCGGACCGGGGTATTTACGAGACCGCCTTCTGCTACCAATAGCCTCTCACCGACCAGTACGCTCCCACAGAGAGGGGCTCCTCCGGGTGCCGTCGGCCAAACAGTGTCGACTGGCGGCCCCCAGGGGGAGAGCCTTCTCTGTGGGGGCACCTACTATCTGGAACGAGCTCCTCCCGGAGATACGGAGGATCCCGGACCTGTGCACGTTTCGTCGTGCTCTCAAAACTTTTCTATTTCAGCAGGCTGGCCTGGCCTAACTCTCCTCTTTTAAATTTTTAATTCATGTGATTTTATAAATTGGGTGTTTTAATCTGTGTTTCGGCCAAAATATTTAATAATTTTAAGGGATTTTTTAATATTTGTAGTATCTGTATTTTATCTTGGCTGTTCACCGCCCTGAGTCCTTCGGGAGTAGGGCGGTATAGAAATTTGATAAATAAATAAATAAATAAATAAATAAATAAATAAATAAATAAATAAAATTATAACGTAATTATTATAACATAACCTATGTTATTGGGTAACATACTTCATTGGGTAACCTTTAGCATGAATGACGGCCTTACAACGTCTTCCCATGGAGTGAACCAAGTCTTTGAGTTCTGCAGCTGTTCTAATATGAAACCAAGATGGAATGATGGCTTCTATGAACTGGGTTTTATTGCTGGGTCGCTTCTGACTAACAAGTTTCTTTAGTCGGCTCCATCGATTTTCAATTGGGTTAAGAAGGTCTGGACTATTCCCAGGACATTGATTCCAGCAGTGGAATAGGATTATCTTGAAACTGCCCCCCAAAAAGTGGTGTTATTAGCCATCAAACCTCCAAAATACACTTTTCCCAAAAGGTTTGCACAATTTTGGCCACCGCTGTAGCACTCAAGAATGGAAGACAATGACTTAACGGCTCAAAGCTGCCTGTTAAAATACATCGGGAGCAGCGAGACGTTATGACAATGCCTATTTTTACATGGCTGTTCCGGGGATTGTCTCTTCAAGGAATCATTATAAAAGAGCTTGTCCTTGCAAATTAAACTCTGACCTTGCTGATCATATCCTATGTATATATATATTTAAAACGTGCAGCAGGGTCTGGAGTGGGGGGGGAGTTGGCATGTAATGTAAAACAGTCCTCTTCCTCTTCCTCTTCCCCTCCTCCTCCTCCCCCCCTCCTCCTCTCCACAAACCTCCCTCCCTTATAGCGCTGTGGATGTTACACTAGCTGGGTATTATTAGTTCAATTTATTAGTTCAATTTATGTGCTGCTTTTCTCCGGAGACTCAGGGCAGCTCACAATGCATTTAAAATCATTATAAAAAACATTTAAAAATTAAAAAATTAAAACCCATTCACACCATTCATGGCCAGATCTCGCCGGATCACAAGAGCGAGATCAACGGCCCCAGGCCTGCCGGAAGAGCCAGGTCTTCACCGCTTTTGGGAAGGCCAATAGGGTGGGGATGGTCCGGACCTCAGGAGGTAACTGGTTCCAGAGAGCTGGGGCCGCCACAGAGAAGGACCTCCCCCGCGGGCCCGCCAGCCGGCATTGTTTAGCTGATGGGACCCGGAGGAGACCAACTCGGTGGGATCTTACCGGTCGCTGGGAGCTATGCGTCAGAAGGCGGTCTCGAAGATAACCTGGCCCTGAGCCATGTAGGGCTTTAAAGATAATAACCAACACCTTGAATTGTGACCAGAGACCAATAGGGAGCCAGTGCAGCTCGCGGAGAATTGGTGTAATGTGGGTGTATCTAGGTGCACCCACGATAGCTCGCGCGGCTGCGTTCTGGACCAACTGTAGTCTCCAAACACTCTTCAAGGGTAGCCCCATGTAGAGCGCATTATGAAGGGTAATGAAACGGCTGCAAGAAAACCTCCCAAATTGAGAGACCACTCAAGCTCTCAAGTTCAGGGTCGACTCAGCCTTCCATCCTTTCTAAGGTAGGTAAATTGAGGACCCAGTTTGTGGGGGCAATAAACTGACTTTGTGTAAATATACAAAAGTATGAAGGCTATTGCTTAGCGCATTGTAAGCCGCCCTGAGTCTCCGGAGAAGGGCAGCATATAAATCAAATTAAAAAAAAGAAAAAAAAGCTCAGAGTTTAATTTGCAAGGACAAACTCTTTTATAATGATTCCTTGAAGAGACAATCCCCGGAACAGCCATGTAAAAATAGGCATTGTCATAACGTCTTGCTGCTCCCGATGTATTTTAACAGGCAGCTTCGAGCCATTAAATCATTGTCTTCCATTCTTGCGTGCTATATACCCTATATTGTTTTATTTTTATTTTTCTTTCCCCTGAGCAGAAAACAGAAGCCACCACCTCAAGAGAAGCATCGAGAAGCCCGATGCCTTAGCTCGGCTCCCGATGCTAATTTAAATCGGGGGGAACTTCAGCCCTGACAAAAGCTGCCAATCATGCCTTGGGTTGAAGGGGAGGGGGGTCTTGGCATCTAATCCCCGTTACATAAACCTCCAACCTTTCTCCCTCCCGGAGAGGCAGAGAACACGATGTGACACCAACTTCTTGTCGTGCTGGGTGTCCATCCTCCTCCTCCTCCGCCGCCTCTCCTCAAATCCTACTCCCTTCTAGCACGGATGAAGTTACCTAGCTGAGTAATGAAACAGCTGCAAGAAAGCTACCAAGCTCAGAGAGTTCAACCCTGAGCTGCAAAATATTCTCTTTTTTTATCGGCAGTTAAATCCAGCTGACAGAGGCATATAGAATATGTTTTAGAATATGTGTTAGATTCTTGACAAATGTATCTTGTCTTTTTATGTACCCTGAGAGCGTATGCACCAAAGACAAATTCCTTGTGTGTCCAATCACACTTG